CAGGAGAGTGGTACAGGCCCTTGGAAGTCCACTGTTTTTCAAGGTCTGTATTCTATCAACAAAGCATGAATTTCTATATTGCATATCATTTCTAGCATTTTGAGTTGTCACATTGGTTCCTGTTTGGCTGTGTGTATAAAAAGTTCCCTGTTGTTTAGATTTGCATTTCTTTGCTTATCAGTGAGGCTGAGTCCAGATATGTACATGTGTGTATGTATCATACGTGTTTATATATAATATATATATTCACCTGATTTTAAAAATCATTTTATTTTTAATTTGTAGGAGCTCTTTATATATTCTGAGTAATATTTGTTTTCAGTTACATAATTTACAAATACAGACTCCTAATGTGTAGTTTGCCTTTTTTACTTTCTTTATAGTACCATTGGGTAATTGGAAATATTAATATACCTGAATTTAATGTTCTTTTTTCTTTTATAGCTCATATTTCTATTGAATTGTTTATGATTTTTCCCCACTTGAAGTGATTAAATATTCTCCCAAATTTTATTTTAAAGTATTACAATTTAAAAAATATATGATCTTTGGGGGGATAAAAGGGAGTGCCTGTCTGGCTCAGTCGGTAGAGCCTATGAGTCTTGGTCTCAGGGTTGAGTTTGAGCTTCATGTTAGGTGTAGAGATTACTTAAAAATAAAATCTTTTAAAAATTAAAGTATTAAAGTTGACTTCTCATTAAGGGATCCCTGGGTGGCGCAGCGGTTTAGCGCCTGCCTTTGGCCCAGGGCGCGATCCTGGAGACCCGGGATCGAATCCCACGTCGGGCTCCCGGCATGGAGCCTGCTTCTCCCTCTGCCTGTGTCTCTGCCTCTCTCTCTCTCTCTCTCTGTGACTATCGTAAATAAATAAATAAATAAAAAACTAAAGAAAAAAAAAACTTTGTTAAAAAAATTTTTGTGCTAGCTGTAGACTGGGAATGTAATGAGGTCAGGACAAATTCTATTTTATGTTTTTCATATGCTTAAATAATGGTGCTGGGACCATTTATTAACAATCAGTCCTTTCTCCACAGACCCCTTGAACCAACTTTCCTCATGCTCCCCCAGCATTCTGCTGTCTCTGTCTCACCATATGTCAAAGCTCCATACTGCATCCATCTGTCTCCTGGCTTCTGTTAGCTTGTTAAGCTGCTCTATTATAACGTTTGATATACAATAGGACAAACCTTCCCATTTTAAACTTCTCCTTCAAAATATCTTAGTCTTGTCCCTCACCTTGACACGCTCCACTCCCCCCCACCCAAATGGAATTTTGATTGAAGTTACATTGAAGGCACAGATTGTGTAGAATTGGCATGTTTCCACAACTCAGACATTCTATTCATTCATACATCATATCAACCAATTTATTTAGATGTTCCATGTCTTCTAATAACTTTATAAAGTACTACATTTATGTGTAACACATCCTTTAGAGTTCCTTGTTTTTGTTGACATTCCAAATGACTTACCATCATTATTATTTTTAGAGCAGCAGAAGGAATGAAAAGTGAAAAATGAGCAAAGTAGTGTTTACTGAGTGTTTCTTTACCGAGTGTTTCCAGAGCAGTGTGGTCCCAACAGGTCTGGTATGACACCCACAGCTACTTTGTCCCCAGTGTCCAGTTCTACACTCCCCTGTGAGAACGGGGTATTTGGCCTCAGGGAAGCTTTTGAGACTTGACCCTGGGGAATGTCTAATTACTGTGTGACACTTTTCCCTTAATTTAACCCTCAGAGAGGAGAGCAGAACGCACCACTTTTCTTGAGATCCTGCATCATCTAAAGAGAAAGTCCCTGGAAAGGATTGTTTTCCGCTCTACAAATTCCCCCAAGAGCCTCCTAAGACATCAATATCCTTGCCTACAAACTGGCAGAGGGGAGGTAGCTGTGGAGACCAAAGAATGTCGTGGTGGCCTCGGACAAGGTAAGTGTGGAAGATTGTTGAAATTATCCAGTCGAACTGTGCACCTGCCTCCACTCCTCCTCTACTTTCCTTGTATTTGGACCCAGATTTGCCTTCGTTTTCTGAGTAAAGTTTCCTCAATGCATGGGGTAAAACTTCATATTTTAGAACTTGAATGCATGAGTGAAAAAAATTAAAAGAATAAAATATGAAATCAAGAAGAGCCATTAAAACAAGCATAGTGTAGCTACCAGGTAAAAATACTGATAATATGGAAGGTCTTCCCAACACTAAAATTTTGTTGAAGCCTAAAGAATTGTGGATTCCTGGGGAGTCACAGAGAAATTCACTATTTTTTTTTTCCAGGACTAAAATCAAATTCGATGTTGTTTTTTTTTTTTTTTTACTATACAAGGGATATTTATAGGCTGAACTTCTTAGGCACAGCTGATTATTTGTCATTCCAGGAATCTTTCAAGTGTTCTGTACATATCTCAGGAGTAAGAGTAATGTTTTTTCTACCTTCACGTAGCCCTCGAGCCTATGGCAGTGGTTGGCACCTAGCAGAGGGTCAACGAACATGTGAGAGTCAACTGAACAAATATGTGAATGATGAACAATGGTACAGTCTTCCCAGTGAACAGGGCCTCACCCAGGGCAGCAAAGTAGACACTCTCTTGCCTTTTATGAGCCAATTTGTGCTGAACTTGCTTGTCTTTTCTTATAATCTCATAGCCTCCTGTTTTGTCCAGCAACATTCTCCATAAGGACTATTCTCTGTGCTTTCGGCTGAGAAAGGACAGAGAAGTGCTTGCTTCAGCCCGAGGGCACTCTGATCTCACGCCTGTCTCCATGCAGGCTCTGCCCTTCTGCCAAGCACTGATGCTTCCTCCATCCCAAAACCTTCCTCAAGACAAGAGGCACTTTATAGGAATTCATTTTCCTAACCTGCAATGCATTTATTTTAATCTGCTTGTGACCTGAAAAGAACAAAACACACCTCCACTCTCTCATTTCAGATTTGGGGTAGTCCTGAGAATATAGCGGTACTCAGAGTAGTAAGTAGACAGGGTGACTGGTGGCTCCTGATCTAAATTTCCCACTGTGGTGCAAAAACTAATAGTGGAATTTAAAATAATAATAATAATAATAATAATAATAATAATAATAATGGAATTTTAAGGTCTACAGATCAGGCTTCCAGTTATTGTTTTGGATCGCAGAAATGTGGATTTGAACAAGTTGTTTCTCATCTTTGGTTCTCAGTTTTTCTATTTATAAAACAATAATAATAATCTGTCTGTCATAGGTAAAAATAAATGGGATAAAATATGTAATGTGCCTGCTATCATGACCATCACATGGGAACTCTTCACTAACACTACCTCATTCATCCTTTATGATTCTTCCTGCGGAGCTTTCAGGCCATGGTTGGGGGGCAGGAGTGGGGAGATACTGCTGATACACAAATATTACAAATATTTGAAGTGTGAGAAGCTTAGAAGTCACGGAAGAGGAGAATACCAAGCACTCATGGGGGTCGGAGGAGAGAGTGTTCACTTCCAGCGGCGCAGATCCATGAGAGCTGCAAGATGATAGGAGTGTTTGCTGGACGCTGGCAACGAGGATTCCAATAGGAAGAGAGTGAGAGAATGGAGGGAAGGAACGACATAAGCAAAAATAGAAACACAGGAAATGCGTCCCGTTTGGCTGAGCTAATGAGTATGTAGAAAAATATTTGGCTCTAAAATTTGATTGGAATCAGATCAGAGAAGACAATAAATATCAAGCTAAGATCGGTGGGGCTTATCTTTGAATCATTTTGAAAAGAACAGGGACAGTAAAAGCCATACTTAGGCACATTCATCTGCAGAATGGCTTGTTGGAGGTAAGAAAATCATGAAAAAGTCGTTAAAATAGTCAAGGGTGAGAGGTACTGTACATGACTATCACGAACCTTAATTCACCTTGCAAAAAGTCTAGTAGATGACAAGTAGATGTGGGTCTGATTTCTACTGCAGCTGCATTGTGTGATGTCTCCTTCCCAAGACAGTCTTAGTTAGGTTAGAAGTGATTTTTTTTTTTAATTCCACAGCCCTTAGGTGTGACCCAGGAGAGGGGGATGTGCGAGGTGGAGTTATATGCTTGTCCAACATCCAGTGACCAACAGGCACAAAGTGGTTCTAGAGAGACTCTTGGCCTGAGCAACTATCAATGTCAACTACTGAGAGAGAGGAGAGGGGGGAGAAGCAAAGGAATGTGAGGAGGAGTATTTCCTAACATCTGGGCACTTAGCATCTAACAAGAAACAGATGTCACCATGAAACGAACAGAAACGGGGCAGAGACGAAGATGACCATTCAGCCAGATCAGATTGTGGATGAGGGCCAGAAAAGGTGGGAAAGCCATGGGAGGAATTATTGAGACCAGGGCTCCTGACAGCGTCTCTGTATTTTTTTTTAAACCACTCTGAAGAACAGGAGGGGGGGGATAGTTGAAAAGAGAAGTGCACATTTTGGGGGGACCTGGGTGGCTCAATCAGTTGGGCATCTGCCTTCTGCTCAGATCATGACCTCAGGGGTCCTGGGATGGAGCCACCAGTCAGAGTCCAGCCTCCAGCTCAGCAGGGAGCTTGCTTCTCCCTCTCCCTCTGCCCCTCCCCTGCTCGTCGCTCATGCCCTCCCTGTGTGCATGCACGCTCTCAAATAAATAAAGTCTTTAAAAAAAAAAGAAGAAAAAGGAAGAAAAGTACACATTTTAAAGCTAAACACAGAGGGACAGAGAGTAAGGGGGGGAAGAACCAAGAAATTAATGAACCTCCAGAAAATATGTCCAGATAATTAATTTGTTGTGTGGCTTTGTGTTTTCTTGGCATCCACTGAAGATGTTTACAAAAGATGCATTGAGGGGCCCCAAAACAAATATTCCAGATGTTTCTGGCCGCGGGAGCTACAACTGAGAGATATTTCCAACTGGCCTATCTAGGCCCCCCAGAGTCAGCTTACGGAGCTGACCGCGAAAAGGAGTGGGGCGGTTTTCAGTGGCTGGGCACCACCCCCATTCCAGGAGTTTGTCTCCTTTCTTCCCCTTGCAGATGACACGGCTGGAGACCCTGGGGAATCAGACTATGGTGACTGAGTTCTTGTTCTCTGTGTTCCCACCTCTGCATCAAGGTGGCCTCCTGTTTTTCATTCCCCTGCTTCTCACCTATGGATTCATCATCACTGGGAACCTGGTGATAGTCATTGTGGTCCAGCTGGATGTGGCCCTGCACACTCCCATGTACTTCTTCATCAGTGTCCTCTCCTTCCTGGAGGTCGGGTACACCACCACCACCATCCCCAAGATGCTCTCCAGCCTGGTCAGTGAGCAGAAGACCATCTCTCTGGCTGGCTGCCTCCTGCAGATGTACTTCTTCCACTCCCTGGGCATCACGGAAGGCTGTGTGCTGACAGCAATGGCCATTGACAGGTACGTCGCCATCTGCAGTCCTCTCCGTTACCCGACCATCATGACTCCCAAGCTGTGCACCCAGCTAACAGCTGGGTCCTGCCTCTGTGGCTTCCTCCTTGTGCTCCCTGAGATCGCGTGGATTGCCACCCTGCCTTTCTGTGGCCCCAACCGGATCCAGCAGATCTTCTGTGACTTCACACCTGTGTTGAGCTTGGCCTGCACAGACACATCACTGGTGGTCATCGTGGACGCTATCCACGCAGTGGAGATCGTGGCCTCCTTCCTGGCCATCGCCCTATCCTACGTCCGGATCATCGTGGTGATTCTGGGGATGCCCTCGGCCGAGGGCCGCCGCAAGGCCTTCTCCACCTGTGCCGCCCACCTTGCTGTGTTCCTGCTCTTCTTCGGCAGTGTGGCTGTCATGTATCTGCGGTTCTCAGCCACCTACTCAGTGTTTTGGGACACAGCAATTGCTGTCAGCTTTGTAATCCTTGCTCCCTTCCTCAACCCCATTATCTACAGCCTGAGAAATAAGGACATGAAAGATGCTATTAGAAGGTTTTTCTGCCATCGGAGGAGGGCTGGTGGGGTCAGGGGGTAGACCTGGAGGCTGGACTCTGAAAAACCTCCTGGAAGTTCAGCATTTCACCATTTCCTGTCTTGTTCATGAGTATGATCTATTTCTACTGCAGAAAAATAACACTACTCGCTCTATTGTTATAAATAAGAACAAAAAAACCGCCTCGTCCAGGATGTGGGCAGCAATGTCATAGCCTGTTTGTGTCAGTGCCCCTGCTGTGTTGTGTCACCGTAGTGGTACACGTGGCTTCTACTGCTATTGGGCACAGGCTGGCTTCCTCCTTGCCCGGCCAGCCGGGCTCCTGCCCTTCTCTTCTGCGCCCCCACATGCTGGTGAGGCCGGACAGCGGGACGAAAGGGATGAGAAAGACATTGTAGTTCTGATCATTGCTACTGTCAACTGGCCCCAAGTCCTCTTTCCATCCCTGAATCCCCTTGTTCAGAGACAGAGGTGGTTTCAACCTCAGGGCTCTACTTTATTCTCTGTCCTCAGTAAACACATAGTTTTGTTTGATCTATTTGGTGTTCAAGAAATGAAATTATACCGGGGCACCTGGCTGGCTCAGTTGGTTAAGCGTCCGACTCTTGGTTTCAGCTCAGGTCCTGAGATCAAGGGCCAGAGTCAGGCTCTGTGCTCAGCAGGGCGTCTGCTTGAGACTCTTTCCCTCCACCCCCCACCCCACTCCTGCGCATGCTCATACTCTCTCTCAAATAAATAAAAAAAAGTCTTAAAAAAGAGAAAAAGAAATGACATTATACCAATCAATGTCTTTCCCCAAAATTTCATGAAACCCACCAGTCACTGATTGTAGGAGTCACTGACTCTGTCCTCCATGGGCTTCCAGTCCTCATTGGGGTGACTGTGGCATCACAGAAACACCGTCCAAACCAGATTTTATACCTTGTTTTGCCACTAAGTTGTGCTGTTTCTGTATCTGTAATACTTCTGGCTGGATCAGATCAGTGATTCCCCAAAACCAGTTGGTCATCAGAATTTATGATTTAGAAAATCTGAAAGTGAAGCCCATGCATGCATTTGCATTGCTTTTGGGTTTTTTTTAAAGATTTTATTTATTTATTCATGAGAGACAGAGAGAGAGAGAGAGAGAGGCAGAGACACAGGCAGAGGGAGAAGCAGGCTCCATGCAGGGAGCCCGACGTGGGACTCGATCCTGGGTCTCCAGGATCAGGCCCTGGGCCGAAGACGGAGCTCAACCGCTGGGCCCCAGGGCTGCCCCTGCATTTGCATTTCTGAAAAGCTGACCCAAACTTTCTGAGGATGGGTCAGAGTTGGTCACTAAGATCATCTCCAGCCCTGGGGCCCTTGCATATTTATAAGGGCTGACATTTTTTAATAACACCCGAGCTTGTGGTAAGTACCTTACACGCATCGTCTCATTTGTACTCACGACAATCCTGTGGAAGCAATATTAACCCTGATTTTCCCAATGAGAAATGCGAATCATAGAATTTCAATAACAAGTCCGAGCGCATGGAGTTAATGATTAGGAATCCAGGGCAGAAACACAACTGCAGCTGCCTCCAGAGCCAGGGCCTATTCACTGTAATCCGGGCTGGCTTCATGCAACCTTCATCCCAAGACCAATTGCTAAACCCAGGAAGAGGAAACGTGGTCACTAAGTATTATCCACGGAGTGCTGATCAGGGTTTGCTCCTCCAGATTCCAAGATTGATTTATTAAAAAAACCTTTGAGTAGCAATTCTATGTTAGTCCTGTGCTAGGTGCAGAGGATCCATTAGCAACTGTCGCATGGGTGGCTTGGCCTTTGGAGACCTCAGAGTCTCGCGATTCAGTAGCTGCTCTTGATAAGAACGTCATTGTCCGTCGAATTCGCTGGTTTTCTTGGCTCAAGAAGCCGTGGTCCTTGTACACTCATTGTTCTCTTCTTTTACTCCCTTTAAACCTTCCCAAATGTGCTACTTGTGTTCCACACCTCTTTGAATACACACCCTTTTGTGTCCTTTGCTCTATCAACTCTGTGCGTTGATTCTCTTCACGAGGACATCCTTATGTCCTCCTTATGTCCCTAAACCTATGGGATTATTTTTGCCGCCGTCGTCCCCTACTTCCCAACATTACTCCAAATTATTGGAATCATCAAGAAAGATTCCTCACACTAATATCACTACCACCGGTGTCAGGACCAACGTGGGCCCTGTTTGAGTGAGACTTGCTTTCTATCCTCTGCTTCTCTCTGCTATCCTGCTTGCCCTCATACCTCCTATTGGATTAAGGGCACACAGACAGCAGGAAGAAGGGTCCCTCGTCTTTAACACCACAGCCTTCAGCACGGGGTTCCGTTGACGGGCTGTCAACCAGCTAAACTTTTTTCTTGACTTGTGGACCAACTAATCTTACAGGTGGGTTGAGGCCTTTAAGAGCAAAGGCAGCAGAAAGAAGAGTCTTGGTGACAATGACAGACAGGCTCCATATCTGCCCAAGGCAGCAAAAGCAGAAGCACAGGAGGGAGGCTCTGTGGTCTGTGTGGAGGCAGGATCCCAGGAAACCAGGCGAAGCTAATAAGTCCATCTGGCAGCTGCTTTGTTTCCTTGATCTTGTCCTAGCCCCAGATCCAGCTCGTTCCCCAGCCCCGGCCCCAGGCCCATAGGAGGAGCCTCTCCTATGCACAACAGTACCTTTTCTTTTTGCGTAAGCTCACGCTTTTAGAAAATATCTCTTTTCACCATTTGTTCTAAACCTGAAGTTCCCTTGGGAGACATCAGCTATCATCTCTACACCTGATGTGGGAACTTCTCAGCATTTCTGAAAAAAAAAAAAAAAAAGGTAACCTAGGCTCTGCTTGGACTCTTTACCCAGATGGTCTCCTACAAAGTCAGGTGGTTATCAGTAGCTCCTCCTTACTGGAGTGAACTTAGGATGGTCACTAAGGCTGAGGACTCTAGGTCATACTGTCTAAACATGAATCTGGATTTCATACTTTCCAAAAATATGATTTGGAGAACTAACACAAGTGTCCTGAGCCTCAATGTCCCTGTGTGTCACTTGGGATCTTTGAGGATTTTGAAGATTAAATGCTGTAATTGTGTATAAAATGTTGAGCACGCTGCCTATAATATTTATCAGATATTAATTATTTTTTAATGTTTTTGTTATTTTTATTACTGTTCTGAGCTGAAAATTACTTCCAGGGCCCTCATGTCATACCACTCCAGGGGACACCATTCAATCTTTACTTTTTGCTTTCTGGAATTCCAGGAGCAAATGCTGAACCCCCTAGGTTTCACAGGACCAAAAGTTATCATTTTATGACTTTTGGCACGAAACAGAAGAATGCTTTGCACGTGTAGGTAACAGAGTCCTGTTTAGGATGTATGGTGTTTTCCCATGTTGGAAAGTAACTATCTTTCATGAGACATAGTTCTTTTTATTTTGAAAGTAGAAAATGATCAGACTGATTTTTGCTAAATCCCTTAGCAAAAGAGTTGGATATTCTCAGAACGTGGGATGAAACACTACTCCTCTGAGACCAGGATAGAAGATTCTCACCCCAGTTTAAATTTCCTTTCCTCAAACAGGGATAGAAACCACGAGGAACGAAGCACCAAGCCTGGCTAAGGCACTTGTACAGGTCACACAAACCCCTGGTTTGTGTCATTTTAAACAGTGATACCCCACAATTGCATGCATATTTTTCCTATAAAAAATAAACGTTTTATTGTTTGTTTTGCTACACTAGATCACCTTCCATGTGTCTTATATCTTTGGACTAATCAACTCCCATGTTTTGTAAGAGAGGCAGAGACACAGGCAGAGGGAGAAGCAGGCCCCATGCAGGAATTTTTGTAAAGTACAGTAATCATGGAAGTAATAGTTATTTTGATGCATTTCTCTTTAAATAATCTTTGTCCACCTAAAATCATTATGTTCAGAGAAAGTAGTCACTAAGATATCTATATTCCAAAACAGGATTTCTTTACAAGTTATCTCAACTCTATAAAGGCTTCATATGTATGATTTCCTCTATGTAATTCATATGTAGGATCTATTTATTTATATACACATATACACCTGGAACTTCATAACTTTACATGTAATGTATATATAACTTCTCTATTTATGTATCTAACTTATATGTTGTAGACAACTAAAGCTTAATTATACATAATATGTTATATACTTAAGCTTTGGTTTGCTTTTTCCATATCCGCACTTACTATTTTTTGGTATAATTATTTTGATTTCTTTCAGAGAAATGTCCAAAAGCATTAGTTTCTTCCCATATTTTTGTCATTTTACATGCTTCAAAGCTATGTTGTTAGATGTAACTCCGATCAGAATAAATGTTTTCTTTATAATATCTTAAGAGTTCCTCTCTGTGTTACTGCTAATACTCCTTCATAGTAAATTCTATTTTATTTCTTATTAATTTTTTTTAATTTTTATTTATTTATGATAGTCACAGAGAGAGAGAGAGAGAGAGGCTCAGAGACATAGGCAGAGGGAGAAGCAGGCTCCATGCACCGGGAGCCCGATGTGGGATTCGATCCTGGGTCTCCAGGATCGCGCCCTGGGCCAAAGGCAGGCGCCAAACCGCTGCGCCACCCAGGGATCCCTTTTATTTCTTATTAATATTACCACATCAAACATTTCCTCTCTCCTTCCTTCCAGGCGTTATCTGTGTGTCTGTATGTTTAGATCAATTCCCTTATAAGCAGCAAATACTGGATTAAAAGATCCAATATGATATGTGCACTTAACCATTTACGTATTTTGTGGTCTAAATAGGTTTGGAAGTGTTTTTACCAAAATATTTGTATTTCCTGCTTTCTTCATTCATTTCTCTTGAATTTTTTCCTTCCTTTTCTAGTTAGATTGATAGAATTTAGTAACTTTTTCCTACAAATATTTTTCTCTGCTAGTTTGAATATACAGATAATGACTCTCCTTTAATGATTATCCTTTTCCCTTATTTTTTATTTATTTTTGTATTTTAAATATTTATTTATTTATTATTTTAGGAAGAGAAAGACAGTACATGA